TCTCACATCCATCTTGATTAATTTTCATATAAAGAAAGGAAATGACCATTTCAGCTTTCTACCTTATACTAGCCAATTCTCCAGCACCCATTTAGATTAAAATAGGAATTCCTTTCACCATTTCTTGTTTTTGTCAGGTTTGCAAAGATCAGATGGCCTGACGATGTGTGGTATTACTGTCGAGCGGCCGTTCTGCTCATTGGTCTAATTCTGTTTTGTAACCAGTACCCATGCGCTTCCGTTACGGTAGCCTTGTAGTACTAGTTTGAAGTCGGTAGCGGAATCCCCAGCTTTGTTCTTTAACTTAGGATGTCTCGCAATGCGGGCTCTTTTTGGTTCATAATGAACTTAAGCAGTTTTTTCCATTCTGGAAAAACTCATGGAAGCTTGATGGGGATGGCATTGATCTGTAACACTTACCTGGGCATATGGCCCCATTTTTCACAATATTGATTCTTCACTATCCACGAGCATCGGTATTCTCACCATTTGTTGTGTCCTTTCATTTCACCGAGCAGGGTTTTTATGCCTTGAAGAGGTTCCTTACATCCCTTTGTAAGTTGGATCCTAGATACTGTACTCTTGAAGCAATGGAATGGCAGTTCATCATCATTTGGCTCTCTGTTTGTCTGTTACTGGTGTAATAAGAATCTGTATTTTGCACGTAATCTTTGATCCCTGATGACTTTGCTGAGTGCTTATCAGCTTAAGGAGGTTTGGGCTGAACGAGGGGGTCTTCAAAACATATCATCACTGCACAGCAAGGGACAATTGACGTCTTCTTCCTACACACTGAATACCCTTGATTTCTTCTCTTCCTGATTGCCCTAGCCAGAAACTCCAGCACTACTGTTGATAGATAGCTGAGAGAGCATCCCTGTCTTGTGCCCAGTTTCAAGGGAATCGCTTCCAGTGTGCCCATTCAATATTGGGCTGTGGGTTGATGGTCAAAAAGCTTCTTATTATTCGAGAATGTTCCATCAATCGACATTTATTGAAGTTGTAGCATGAAGGGCGTGAATTGTTTCAAAAGGCCCCTATTTCCGTGGCATCTATTGAGATAATCAATCTACTTTTGTCTTTGGTTCGTTTATGCTGATACTTTATTGATTTGCGATGTTGAACCAGCCTTGCATCCCAGGGATGAGCCCACTGACATGTGGATAAGCTTTTGATGTGCTGCTGGGATTGTTGCCAGTATTTTAATTGAGGATTTTTGGCATGCGATGTTCCATCAGGGATACTTGGTCCTAAAATTCGTCTTTTTTTGTTGTGCTCTGCAGGCTTTGGTATCAAGGATGATGGGCTCTATAAAATGAGTTAGTGAGATTCCCCTCTTTTTTGCATTAATGGAATAGTTTCGCAGAAGAATGGTACCAGCTCCTCCCTTGTACCGTCTGGTAGCAATCGCTGTGAACCCATCTGTCCTGGACCTTTTGTTGTAGCTATTAATATTGCCCAATTCAGAGCCTGCGTGTGGCGTCTATTCAGCGGATCAACTTCTCCTGTTTAGTCTTGGGAGAGTTAAGTGCCAGGAAATATCCCCCATTTCTTCAATAGATTCTATTATTTGCATAGAGTGTTATAGTATTCCTGGGGAGTTTGTACTCTGTCTGGGGTCAGTGTGAAATCCCCTTTTTTAAAACATGCTTTTATTGGTGTCTACTTGAGTTCTTTTCCTTTCCCTTCTTATTAGTCTTGCAGCACTCTTCCATGTTTGTTGCTCTTTTCAAAAAAACCAACCCTGGATTCACTGATTTTTCGGAGGTGTGCGTCGTACCCTCCTCAGTTCCTGCTCCTGATCTACGTATTTCGCCTCTGATAGCTTTTGAATCGTTTTGCGGTCCTTCTTCTCCTAGTTCCTGTTAATTTGAGTTAGAGTGTCATTGTTAGATCTTTCCGCCCGTTTCTCTCTTTGGGCATTTAGTGGCTATAAGGATAAAATACTACAGAACAAACATAAAGAAAAAAATAAAACTATAAAATAAAATAATAATTAACACAAAAAAAATATATATAATATAAAAAATAAAAAATTAAAAAAAAAAAAAATAAATTTCCTCCCGACACACTGCTTAAATGTGTCCAGAGATTCGTATGTTGTCGCTTTTGTTCTCATGGTTTCAAACGATTCTTTATTCGCTCTTTCATTATGGCCCAGAGGCCATTCAGGTACATTTTCCAGTTTCCAGTATCGAGCGGTTT